ACAACTAAAATATCCCCTAAAAACACCTAATATTTTTCTTTTTCCTTGCAGGTCCTGGGGCTTAAACTCAGGGCCTGGCTACTGTCCCTGAGTCTCTTTTGTACTCAAGGCTAGCACTCTACCACTTTGAGCCACTGTGCCACTTTTGACTTTTTCTGAGTAGTTTATTGGAGATAAGAGTCTCATGGACTTTCCTGCCTGGGCTGGCTTCAAACTGTGATCCTCAGATCTCAGCCTTCTAAGTAGCTAGGATTACCAGCATGAGCCATGGACCCCCAGCTTCTACACAGTGTTCTTCATTCCAATTCTATATAATCAATTAACTTATTACTGCTTAGGCTGCCAGGAACAATGGAGGTAACCTGAATATAGGATAATTAAGGTCAACAGATAATTAAGGTACACAGTACTATTACTACTGATTTAAACTGTTAACAGATATATGAGTCTCTGGAGACCTGACTTTGTGTGAATATGTTCCAAAGCACAAGAATCATTCTGAGTGAATTAAAAAAAAATATCACGCCTGTAATCCTAGTTACTTAGGAGGCTGAGATCTGAGGATCATAGTTCAAAGCCAGCCTGGGCAAAGTCTTTGAGACTCATCATCTCCAATGAACCAGCAAAGGGCCAGGAGTGGAAGTGTGACTCAACTAGAACACCAACAAATAAAGCTAAGGAGCCCAGCGCAGGTGACCCACGCCTGTAATCCTAGCTACTCTGAGATCTGAAAATTGAGGTTCAAAGCCAGCCTGGACAGGAAAAGTCCGTGAGACTTTTTTTTTTTGGGGGGGGGGTCCGGTCATAGGCTTGAACTCTGGGCCTGGGCACTGTCCCTCAGCTCTTCAGCTCAAGGCCAGCACTCCACCACTTGAGCCACAGCACCACTTCAGCTTTTTTCTTTTTGCTTATGTGGTGCTGAGGAATTGAACCCAGGGCCTCATGCTTGCAAGGCAAGCGCTCTACCGCTGAGCCACCTTCCCAGTCCCTCCGTGAGTCTCTTATCTCCAATAAAAAACCACTAGAAAACTGGAAGTGGCGCTGTGGCTCAAGCAGTAGAGTGCTCGCCTTGAGCTGAAGAGCACAGGGACAGCATCCAAGCCCAGAGTTGAAGCCCCACGACTGACCAACAAAGAAAAAAACAAAACAAAAAAAAGCGAAGGGAAGCTAGGCAGCAATGGCTCAGGCCTGTAATCCTAGCTGCTCAGAAAGCTGAGGTAAGAGAAGTTCAAAGTCAGCCCAATCAGGATGGCCCATGAAATTCTCATCTCCAATTAATCCCCCCAAAAAACCCACAGGTGGAGCTGTGGCTAAATTGATAAAGTTGCCCTACACTGGTGGCTCACACCTGTAATCCTAGCTACTCTGGAGGCTGAGATCTGAAGAGCTCAGTTCAAAACTAGCATGGGCAAAAAAGTCCGTGAGACACATCCCCAATTATCCACCAGAAAACCACAAGTAGCACAGTGGCTCAAAGTGGTAGAGCATTAGCCTTGAGCAAAAGAGATCAGGGGCGGAGCCCAGGCACTGAGTTCAAGTCCTAAACCAACTAAATAAAGTGATAAAGTACTCAAAAGCTGAGGGACAAAGCTGGGCCGCAGTGGCTCATGCCTGTAATCCTAGCTACTCTGAGGATCAAGGTTCAAAGCCAGTCCAGGCAAGAAAGTCTGTGAGATGCTTGTCTCCAATAAACCACCAGAAGGGCTAGGAAGGTAGCTCAGTGGTAGAGTGCTTGCCTTGCAGGCCTGAGGACCTGAGTTCGATTCCTCAGCACCACATAGGCAGAAAAAGCCAGAAGTGGCGCTGTGGCTCAAGGGGTAGAGCACTAGCCTTGAGCTGAAGAGCTGAGGGGACAGCGCCCAGGCCCAGAAAACCAGACAGAAGTGGCACTGTGGCTCAAGTGGTGAAGAGGGGGAGGGGAGAGGGAGAGACAGAGGTGTCAAGGGAGAGATGAGGCTCTGAGTTCAAACCCCAGTACCAGCGCATTTTTTTAAATCTAAGTTTCTAAGTAGAGGTCACAGAAACTTTGATTTAGGTAATTTCCCTACCATTCACTACCTGGGTGCTCTTTTCTTTTTTGTTGTTTGTTTTTATTTGTTTCTATTTTGAAACAGGGTTTCAGTAGGTAGCCCAGGCTGCCCTCAAATCCACCATCCTCCTGTTAAGCCTCCTATGCACTGGATTACAGGTGTACATACCTCTCTCTCACACACACACACACACACACACACACACACACACACACACACACACACACACACACACACACACACACACACACACACACACACACACAGCTTCTGTGTGACTTTTTATTCTGGTCATTCTCAATTTCTTCAACAGTAAAAAAGTACAAAGTAAATAAAAACTAGCCTACCACCAATGACTCAAGCCTGCAATCCCAGCTACTCTGGAGGCAGAGTGAGCTATGAGAATCGAGGTTTGAAACCAGCCCAGGCAGTGAAGTATATGACTCTTATCCCTAACCACCAACAATCTAGAGTGGAGTTGTGGTTTGAGTGGTAAAGCGACAGCCTTGAGCTGAAAAACTAATCAGTGCCCAGTCCAAGTTCAAGCCTCAGTAAGGCACTAAATCATACATAGACACATACATACATACATAAAACTAGTACCTAGAAGATGGCAGAAGCTAGATTGCTTTCAGATACATTTAAAAGAACATAACTGAAGTAAAACTATTTCACGTGAAAGGAAGTAGTTTAGACCCATCAAACTCCATCCATTTAAAGACTGATCACCTGCAGAGAGTTCCATTGGAGGAAGGTAAGAAAGCAAAGTTAAAATGTTGCAAGCCAAATACCTGCAGCACTCTACAGATGAAGCCTTGCTTAGCAACTCAAATGTTGTCTAGCAAACACCCAGGCCTGTAATAGTTAGAGCATGACAACTGTTCACTCTAAATCCATGTGCTCAGCTTGGTTTCAGGATTGATTTATAAAAATAGCTGCTCCTGTTAACTGGTCTTTGAATCCAGGCGCTGATGACTGGGCACTGTTACCCTATAGGCCTGGAGCAGCTGTATTTTCCCTTGCCACACCCACTTCGCTGCCTACCCGGCCAAGCTGCCGGAGCCCCCCCCTCCTGCCCCCCCTCCCTCCAACACTGCAGCCTCCTATTCTCCCTCCTCCTGGGCTGACTGTGCAAATTGCAAGCGCAAATATCCCCTGATGCAATGCCACAACCATCCCTGGGAAAGATCGAAGGCAGTTGCCAAAAGCTGCAGCAGCAAATGAAATGGGCGGGAAATACACATACATATACATACATACATACACACACACACACACACACACACACACGGAGAAACACAGCAATGCTGTGTGCACAGCCAGGGAGGGAGAATCGAGAGGCCCTAGGGACCAATACTGTAACTGGACCAGCCTAGGGAAAGGAGAAAAGGGGGGGGAAGGGGGGGGTTGAGGGTTGTTTCCAGTAGAAAGATGGGTAACACTAACTAACCTTTCCAAGAAATATAAGTTTCACACACACCCGGGTTTGGGTTCTAAAACACAAACCTGAAGGCGATCACTCTGCCTTCCTCTGCCTCCCCCCTCCTCCACTCCCCCCCCCAGGTAGCAAATGCATTTAATCCCCCCCCCCTTTCAGGGAGATAAGCAAATACGACCTCTCTCTCCTCCTTCCCCAACTCGGTCCTTCCCTCCACCTCTTACCCTCCCACCCCACCCCCGCAACTAAGCAATTTCGAGAAAGAAAGAAAAAAAAAACTCAGGCCCACACACCAACGCTGAACTTGTAACCATGTGCTTTAAAAGAAAAAAAAAAAAAAAACACTAAAATCCCAGGTTCGGAGTAACGTTTCCAACTGTCGCTCTCAGTCCTCCAGTCCCTGTCTACTCCCCTTCCCCCCCACCCCCTGCACCCCAATTCGACCCCCGGCACCCTGGCCCCCCCAAGCTGCCAGGACCCACGCGGGAAGGGGGGTGGGGAGTGGGGGGGGGCGCGAGGGAGAGAGAGTCCCAGGCTAGCTGGAAGGCAGGCAGGCAGGCAGCTAAAACTCCTCAGGAGGCTGAGAATCTTAAAAAAAAAGAGGATCGCAGTTCAAAAGCCAGCCTGAATAAGGAAAAATAAATAAATAAATAAATAATAACCTGGGTGAGGCTCCTATCTCCAATTAAACCAACACCCCCCCCAAAAATAAAATAAAATAAAGCTGAAAGTGGAGCTGTGGCTCCAAGTGGGGGGGAGCGCCAGCCTGGCTCACAAAAAAAAAAAAAAAAGGTCAAGGGAGCTGACAGCCGCCCAGGTCCTGAGTTCAAGGCCCCCCCTCCCCAGGACTGGCCTTAACACATCCCTGGCTCTCAGTTGGGGGAATGCTCCAGAACCATCCACTCCCCCCCCCAACACACACACACACACAGACACACACATCCTCGGCCCCCCCCCTTCACCCCAAGACCCCCTTGGACTGATCACAATGTTAGAAAAAAAAAGCCCACCAGCCACCGACACACCCCGAAGAAACAAATCACCCCCCCCCCTCCAAGGCCTCCACACGGCTGCTGGGAGAGCTGACCCCCCCCACCCCACCCCACCCCACCCCACTTCCCTTCAACTCATCCCCGAGCCTCAAAAACCCGCACGGTCCCACAACACACCCTTTCCCTCTGGAAACACAATCTCTCGGGGCCTGGTCCCCCCCCCCCACCTCCCCGACACACCCCAATATTCAGGGCCCAGAAGGTCACGCCCAGAGGGGTCCCCCCCCCCTTCCCCACCCTCCATCCCTGCTCGTGGCCATCCCCGCGCCCTTCAGGCGAGCCAGGCCGGCCGCCGCCCTTCCCGGCCCGGGGCGGGCCCTGAGGGAGAGGGGGGGGGGTGGTCTCGAGCGGCCCACCCGGGTGTGAGGGAAGGGGGGGGGAGGGAAGAAGCTTCGAGAAGCCCACCACCACCACCGCACGCACACACCCTCGACTGTGTTCAGAGAAGCCACCCCTCAAATCTCGGCCCGCTATCCTCACCGGTCGTGGCCGAGCCGCGGCAGGAACCTCAGGCACAGTCACAGCCCGACGGGAGCCGGGAGAAGGCCGGGAGGAGCCGAGAGTGCGAGGCGCAGCGGGCGAGGGGCGGGGCACACACAGGGAGGTGGCCGCTTCCTCGTCGCCCTTTGAAGGCCGGCGCGTGGGGCGGGACGTCGCCACCTCCTACCCAGAGGGCGCCGCCACTTCCAACCAATAGGCGTAGCCGAGGGGCGGGCCGAAGGGGGAGGAGAGGGTCGCCGCCAACCAATGAACACTGCGCTCGGCACCGCGACCCTTCTCTGTGGAAGCGCGCGAGCGGCGGGCGGTTGACGGCGGCGGAGGAGGAGGTGCGTGTGTGTTGCTCCGCGGGTTCCGGACCGGCGTCTCCCGGTGTAGAAAGGCTTCAGCGACTTGCAGGCTTCACTTGCCTGTCTCCAGGGTTCTTCGGCGACGAACCCGGCCCTCTTAAGGATTTTTTTTTTTTCCCCCGAGGGCTCGGAGGCGGGAAAGTCTGTGGAGGCCGGCGCCTTGCCAGGCCGGCCGGGGTCGGGCCGAGGCCTCTCCCGCCCAGCTGGTGGGCCTCTATGATGTAACCTGGGCGGGGCAGGGGGCGGGGCCTCGAACGCCGGCCAGCTGTTCACTGGCAGGAACCCCGGGCAAGTGGAGGCGGGACGGTGAGGTCAGACTGGAGGACTCGACTCTGGGGAGGGGCGAGGAGGGGAGGGTGGGGGGGGGTAAAACCTTCTCCAGAGCCCCGCTGCCGCCTCCAGCCCTTCTTAAAATGTGGCTATTACGAATTGAGATGTGCTGATTATATATATATATATATATATACATATATGTAGATCAAACACATACTATGTGGCAGAGATTTTAGTCTGGAAAAGAACAAAAAAGAGAATAATAACTCAGATCTTATTAAAATAAGGTGGCCCGCGCGCTGATTTGATTGCAGAATTCATTCGTTTGGAGTATATGCGCTTACGAGAAGTAGATGTAGGGGCTGGGAAGGTGGCTCAGTGGTAGAGCGCTTGCCTTGCATGCATGAGGCCCCGGGTTCGATTCCTCAGCACCACCTAAACAGAAGAAGCGGAAGCCTTGAGGTGAAGAGCTTAGGGACAGCGCCCAGGCCCATAGTTCAAGCCCCATAACCAACAACAACAACAAAAAAAAAGAAGTGGCACTGTGACTCAAATGGTAAGAGTACTATCTTTGAGCAAAAGCAGCTCAGGGAGCGTGCCAAAGCCCCAGTACTAGCACAAAATGATAATTTTGTTTTGTAGCTTTCTTAAATGTGGCTACTAGAAAACATCAGTTCACATACTGATAGCACTGGGCCAGATGAATAGTGAAACATAATCCCTATTGAATGCTACTATGTTCCAGGTACGAGACACCAACTCATTTAATCATCTTAACAATCCTAAATGATAGGTAGTGTGTTCTCATTCCCATTTTGCAAATGAGCAAACTAGTTTAGTAACAATCTAATGTCAGCAAACCAGTGTTTAGCTACTGCAGCTGTAATTCAGAACCAAGTACTGAGACTAAATACTATTCCAGAAAGAACACTGGACTTGGTTAGAATGTCCAACTTTGGTGCTTTCTAGCTATATAGCCTTAAGGAATCAAAGCTTCAAATGCCTCATTTATAAAAAATAAACAATCTTCCTCATAGCTTCATTAAGTGAATGACCTATAGATAGCTTACTTACATAGTTAAAATGGACTCTAGGCTGAGCACCTGTGGCTCATGCCCTTAATCCTAGCTACCCAAGAGGCTGAGTTCTGAGGATATTGGTTCAAAGCCAGCCTAGGCAGGAAAGTCCAAGGGACTTATCTCCAATAAACCACCAGAAAAAAGCCAGTGAAAGAGCTGTAGCTTAAGTGGTAGACCACTAGCCTTTAGCGAAAAACCTATGAGCCAGCACCTAAGCCCTGAGTTCAAACTCCCAGTATCAGCACATACACACACACACACACACACACACACACACAATAAGAATAGAAGATCAGAGAAGCTGGGTATGGTGGTACACATCTATAATCAAAGCACTTGGGAGGCTGAGGGAAGAGAATTTAAGTTTAAGACCAACTTGGTGGAAGTGGCTCTGTGGCTCAAGTGGTAGAGTACCAGCCTTAAGCACAAAGAGGCTCAAGGACAGCACCCAGGCCCTGAATTTAAGCCCCAGAACTGAGGCTTTAAAAAGAAAGACCCAGCCTGGTGCTGGTGGCTCATGCCTATAATCCTAGCTACTCAGGAGGCTGAGATTTGAGGATTGCAGTTCAAAGTCAGCCCAGGCAGGAAAGTCCCTGAGACTCTTATCTCCAATAAACCACCAAAAACCCAGAAGTGGTGGTAGAGCTCTAGCCTTGAGTTGAAGAGCTGAGGGACAACACCCAGGCCCAGAGTTCAAGCCCCATGACTGACAGAGAAAAAAAAAAAGGCTGGGAAGTTGGCTCAGGGGTAGAGTGCTTGCCTTGCATGCATGAGGCCCTGGGTTCAATCCTTCAGCACCACATAAACAGAAAAAGCCAGAAGTGGCGCTGTGGATCAAGTGGTAGAATGCTAGCTCTGATCTGAAGAGCTGAAGGAGAGCACCCAGGCCCAGAGTTCAAGCCCCACAACAGATAAAAATATTATATATATATATATATATATATATATATATATATATATACGTATGTATGTATAGAGTTATGAATTGGGAGCCCTAGAAAAAATTAGTATGTACTGGTGGTGATAGGTGACCATTACAGATTATCTGACAGCTCATTATCTCAGAATTAGTCAACTTATGGGCCTAAATAAGAAGTCAGCATCTTGATAAACACCTGTTAGAGAATCATCATTGTCACCACAGCCTTAGACCAAGTTTTTCCTTCCCTCAGATCTACCAGATGGTCCTTCTGCCTCAGAAATGTCTTCATCAAAACGTAATATTCGGCTGGGAAGGTGGCTTAGTGGTAGAGTGCTTGCCTACCATGCACAAAGCCCTGGGTTGGATTCCTCCGTACCACATAAACAGAAAAAGCCAGAAGTGGGGCTGTGGCTCAAGTGGTAGAGTGCTAGCCTTGAGCAAAGAAGCAACTCAGGAACAGTGTTCAGGCCCTGAGTATAAGCCCCAGGACTGTCAAAACAACAAAACACAATTACTGGTACTGTTCAGGTTTGATCAGTATTTGCTGCTCATGTGAGGCCTCAATGTACTCTTGCATCTTTTATTTTTTCACTGTTGGGATTTGAAACCAATCCTCTCACGTGCTAAATACATGTTTTACCATCCAGCTATAGTTTTTTTTTTTTTTTTTGGTCGTCCATGGAACTTGAACTCTGGGCCTGGGCACTGTCCCTCAGCTCTTGAGCTCAAGGCTAGCGTTCTACTGCTTGAGCCACAATGCCATTTCTGGATTTTTTTGCTTATGTGGTGCTGAGGAATTGAACCCATGAATGCAAAACAAGCACTTTACCACTGAGCCACCTTCCCAGCCCCTCCAGCTACACTTTCATCCACTTCTTTCCCTCTCAAAATGGTGCAGCATGACACTGCAGGAAACAGGATGATCTGACTAAAGTGCCCCCTGCTACCTTTTTGCTTTGGTGACTAAACACATAAGACATTCAGCAGCCCAGGCTTTGTTCCAGCTGGTGACTGGATCCCACTAGATGGTGCTTTCAGGAAGCCAAAGTCCACTTTCCTGGAACATGGTAGTAAAGCAGCCATCTGAAGATAATTAGGTCAAAGCCAGGTACCAGTGGCTCGCGCCTGTAATCCTAGCTACTCAGGAGGCTGAGATCTGAGGATCACAGTTCAAAGCCAGCCCATGCAGAAAAGTATGTGAGACTCTTATCTCCAATTAATCACCAGAAAACTGGAAGTGGCACTGTTGCTCAAGTGGTGAACTGAAGAGCTGAGGGACAGCACCCAGGCCCACAGTTCAAGCTCCACGACCAAGGGAAAAAAAAAAAAGCTAGACGTGGTGCTATGGGTCAAGTGGTAGAGCGCTATCCTTGAGCACAAAGAGGCACAGGGTTAGTACCCAAGCCCTGAGTGTAAGCCCCAAGACCAGCAAAAATTAAAAAAAAAAAAAAAAAAAAAAAAATCAATCAACAAATCTTATAAGGACTTGAACTCAAGGCCTGTCAGTTTGACTTAGAGCTACTGTTGTACCAATTGAGCCATACCTCTACTTTCTTCTCTAAGCTGGTTAATTGAATTTAGGAGTTTCATGAACTTTTCTGCCCAGGTTGTATTCCAACTGTGATCTTCAGATCTCAGCCTCTAGAGTTGGTGAGACTGCAGACATGAGCCATTAGCACTGGTGCGCGCGTGCACCAGTAAGTCTTGCTAAATGTCAAACCCATGAGCCTATACACCCTATTCTGCCATTTGCATCTGAAGATCTAAATGCTTATACTTGGAGAAAAAGCCCTGGACTACAAGTTGAGAAAATCCATTCCAGTCTTAAGTTCTATCAGGAACTATGCAGCTTTGGGCAAGATATTTCCCATCTCTGCTCTTTGTATTCCTCACTTGTACAGGGGAAGTAAAACATGATAATTTCTGATCCTAGCTACTCTTGTGACTGACATCTACGAATTGATTCCCTAATTCACTCAGAATTGAGTTTGAATCTAGCCTCAGGCAGACAAATCTTAAATTCTTTTATCTCCCATTGTTAGGTAACAAAAATCCGGTGCAGGAGGCAGGCTTGGTTCAGTAGCTCCAATCCTGAGCATAAAAGATCTTGCTTTTAGCCAGGCGCAGGTGGATTACGCCTATAATCCTTCCTAGTTACTCAGGCAGCTGAGGTCTGAGGATCACGGTTCAAAGCCAGCCTGGGCAGAAGAGTCTCATGGGAGACTTATCTCCAATAAACCACTCAGAAAACTGGAAGTGGCCCTGTGACTCATATGGTAGAGCACTTGCCTTGAGCTGAAGAGCACAGGGACAGCACCCAAGCCCAGAGTTCAAATCCCACTACAAAAAAAAAAAAAGAATGGAAGCCTGGAGAAAAATGAGGTCAAACAAAGAAATTTTCCCATGAAGAACCTGGGGTACAGCTAGGGGAAGGTGGCAAGAGCAGGCCTTGAAAGCAGTTCCTTAACTCACGGTACGT